GGTGTTGTGGGACACTCTGGGCTCGTGCTGGGGGGGGGAGGTTTTGGGGAAAGGGGCTGAACCCAGTGCCCAGGCTGCACCTCCGACGCCCCTGGGGCTGCTGCACAGTGTGAAGCAGGGGAGGGCGGGCTGGGTGCCACTCTTCTCCCCACTGCTGGAGCCACAAAGCCATGAGGCACTTTGTGTTTCTTGAAATCCCCTTGACTGCGCTCGCCGAGGCAGAAACTGGACGACTTTGATGTGCGCCAGCTCTACGACTGCAACTGGATCGTCGTGAACTGCTCCACTCCGGCCAACTTCTTCCATGTCCTTCGGCGCCAGATCCTCCTGCCTTTCCGCAAACCGGTCAGTGCTGGCAGCTCCATGCCCAGCTCGGTGCCAAGGCAGGGCAGCCCGGCGTCCCTGCTGAGCCTGGGGATAGGACTCGGGGCAGGCTTGTTCTTGCACCTTGGCAGCAAACATGGGCAGTTTGCCTCTGCCCCGGCCAAGGACCTCTTGGTGCTCGGGGTTGGCTCACTATGTGCCATGCTGCCGGTTGGCTTGTGCAGGCTGTAGTGACTGCAGCCCCTTCCTGCACACTGTGGGGAAGTCAGAGGCGTTGGGGCTGGTGGACATCGGTGCAGCCGCTTGCCTCCAGCTCCGGCTGTGGGGCAGGCAGGTCCCTGGCAGCACCTCAACCTCTTCCCCAGGGGAAACCCAGACTGGGAAAGCTTGTGCTGTCGGAAAGCAGTGCCCAATCTGGCAGAGCACGAGGAGCACATCTTTTGCGGCTGCTCCTGTGCTCGGTCAGGGGAGGGGCGGGCAGGACGAGCAGGTCTGTGCTCTGGCCTTGGCTTGCAGGGGACCACTGTGCTTATCCGCATCTTCCCCCCTCCAGCTGATAATCTTCACTCCAAAGTCACTGCTGCGCCACCCCGAAGCCCGCTCCAGCTTCGACGACATGCTGCCAGGTACGAGCGGCACGGAGGTGTTTGTTTCCCGCCCCCTCCGCACTGCTCTGGGATGAAGGGTGAAGGGCAGGAGCGGCCACCTCGGGTAAAGTCCGCCTGGCAGCAGCCTCCCCCTGCTGCAGAGCAGCCAAGCGCAGCCGATGCCACTGCCATGGGGGCACTGCAGACAGCCTCTGCGGATCACTCTGTGCCAGCACAGCACAGGGGCTTTCTTCCTTCCTCCCCACTCCCCTCCAGTGCCGAACTGGCATGCTCACCCCCTCTGTGTGGTGTGCTGGCTGCAGCCGCGTACCCAGCAAATTGCAGCCACCCCTTGTTTGTCCAGCACCCCAGGGAAATGTGGCTCGGCTTTGCCGTGGCATTTCCTCCATTGGCAGCCGCTTCCCACTGGAGCGGTGTGGCTAGGGTTTGGCAGCCCTGAGTCGCACAGAGACATGATGGTTTATACTGGGAGCCGGAGCCGGTCCCAGCTGGTCTGGCTCTGCGTCTCCGCTTTGCCTGGGGTGCCGGGGGGGCTGGCAGGGGACAGGGGTGCAGGGTGACAGTGCCGTTCTCTCCCTTGGCAGGCACCCACTTCCTCCGCGTCATCCCTGACAGCGGCCCTGCGGCCCAGAGCCCCGAGAAGGTGAAGCGGGTGCTGTTCTGCACTGGGAAGGTCTACTACGACCTGACCCGTGAGCGCAAGGCCCGGCAGATGGAGGCCAACGTGGCCATCACCAGGGTGGAGCAGGTGAGATGGGGCTGGCCGCCTCCGAGGCTGCGGGCTGGGGGGGCTGTGGCCCCCGT